TTAGTATCATCTGATATTGGTTCTATCAATAGTGATCAGATTTTGTTCTTGACATAATTTTTTTCTGGTTTGACTGGGACAGCTAGGCCCTAACTTTTTGTGAACTTCCCAGCACTTTTTTTATGTTTACTTCATTTTTGTTCCAGACCCCTGCCCCTTGTGCCTAACTCCTAACCACAAACATTTCCTGCCCCGACTTAAGTTTCCTTTTGGTATGCTCTCTGCATAGAATTTTTTTGCTGCACCCTTAGGCTAGGAGCCTCTGTTAACAGTGGTTTCTCTTAACAGAGTCTCCTTTATTAATCTCTACACTTCCCCTGCTGCCCCCTTCACCTTTGACAATAGAGTTTTTTTAACATACTTTTTTCAGGATAGAGCTACTTCTTTTACAAGTTCATTATTGATTTTTTTTGGCTTTCCACAAGGAACTTCAGCCTTCTGCCGATCTTAAGTATTGGAGAAGTTTTATTAGTATGATCTTGTAGCAACTTTTCAGTAATTAAGCATCCTTGGATATGGGATTTTTTTGGCAGGTGGATCACTTGAGCTCAGGAGCTTGAGACCAGCCTGGACAACATGTTTTTTTCCTATCTCTACAAAAACAAAAGAAAAAAGCCCCCCAAAAAAGCCAAGTGTGTTTTTTTATGCCTGTAGTCCTAGCTACCAGGGAGGCTGAATTGGGAGGATCACTTGAGTTTTTTTAGTCGAGGCTACAGTGAGCCGTAATTGCACCACTGCACTCCAGCCTGGGCATTTTTTTACAGAGCCAAACCCTATCTCAGAGAAGAAAAAAAAAAAAAAAAAAATTCTCTTTTTTTTAAGGTGGTTTTCTCAAAATGCTGGCTACTTACCCTGTACCATGACTTGATTTTTTTTTTGAGAGCAACTCTTACAAACTTTTCTACATTATTCTCTTCTATTAAAATGTTGCAGTGGTTTCAATTATCTGAGGCTCATTAGACAGATTTTCAGATATATAATTTTATTTTTTTTTTCTTAACATGCATATAGTACTTTATGGTTTACAGAGATTTACAAAGTAATTTTTTTCTGTGATCGTAACTCAGTTGAAGCTCACAATAACGTGTTGAAGGTTATTTTTTTTTTTGAAACACAAGGACTATAATTCAGTTCTGGGTCTTCCCTTTCAAAGCAGCTTTTTTTTTTTTATAATACCTCTTTAAAACTTAGATAATGTAGCATATAATAAATGGTGCAGGCAGACTTTGAAAACAAAGTTCACTAAAAACTTGCCATTCTCCTTTCTATTCAAAATTTTTTTATTTCCTTAGGTCTTCTAATTTTTCCAGGTTTGATTTTCTCTAAATTTCTGTTTTTTTTTTTTAAACTTTATAATTTTTTTTTTTTTTTTTGAGATGGAGTCTCGCTCTTTTTTTTAGGCTGGAGTGCAGTAGCCCGATCTCTGTTCACTGCCAGCTCCGCCTCCCATTTTTTTGCCATTCTCCTACCTCAGCGTCCTGAGTAGCTGGGACTACAGATGCCTGCCTTTTTTTCCAGCTAATTTTTGTATTTTTTAGTAGAGATGGGGTTTCACCATGTTAGCCTTTTTTTTCTCGATCTCCTGACCTCGTGATCCGCCCGCCTTGGCCTCCCAAAGTGCTGGGATTACAGGTGTGAGCCACCGTGCCCGGCCTATATATACATTTTTAAACACACATAAAAGTAGTTAGAATAAACCTCTTGCACCCATTCCTAGCTTCAACAATTATCCTCTACTCTTTTTTTTTTTTTTGTGTGTCTGTATTTGGTGGAAGGAGGGAGCTATTTTGAAAAACTTTTTTTTATTAGAATGCATATTAATTCTAAATTTCCTCACTGGAGGTGGCTTTGAGTTTTTTTTTTCTCTGTTCACCAGGACCAATCTTTCTGAGCTCCCTCAACATCTCCCTGAACCAAGAAAGGAAAGGCTAAACTCGCTAGGAGAGTCAGTTCCCTAACCACCTGGTTCTTTTTGCCCTGACATACTCACTTCTGATCCTGACTCTCTTCCCTGAATGTGTTTCTGAAATTTTTTTTGCCCCCAAATCAGAAACTTGAGCACCAACATAAAGCTCAAAGGAAATGTTCATTGGAGCATTTTGGATTTTGGATTTTCAGATCAGGAATGCTCAACTGTTAAGTATATTCCAAAATCTGAAAAAGTTAGAAATCTAAAACACTTCTGGTCCCAAGCATTTTGGATTTTTTTTTACTAACCTTATTTTTAAAAGCCGTGTATATTCAACACTTTGGATCTCTCTTTTTCCCCCAGAACACATTGCTATTTTGAAGTGTGCCCCTTGGTGCTTCTCTCCACATTAACTTTCCTTAAAAATTGCCAGTTCTTAGGATAGCCTTGAGTTTTTCTAAACTGAACTTTTTTTCAGTGGAAGGTGTATTTGAGAGGATTTTGGTATCAAATGACAGAAAATACATTTTTTTTAGCTTTAAGCCCAGGAGAATTTATGTGCTGATATGTGTAACTAAATGACCAGAGATTGTTCTAGCAGGCACAGGTGAATTTAGGTATTCAACTAATGTTTTCAGAAATTTTTTTTTTTCTATCATTCAGAATTGTTTCCTTCTGTGTTGGATTTCTTGTCCGTTCATTTTTCTCCAAAAATTGAAGCCTTAGTTTATCAGCGTAGGAGACAGTGACAATTTTTGCTAGTAGTGCCAGCGCCTGTCCCAGGGCTGATGCTTATTGTGACCTAGCTTGAGTTGCTTTTTTTCCCCTAACTGGCCAGAGGAAACTGGGCTTTTATTGGCCAGGTCTGGGCCATGTGTCTGCGATTTCACTTCCCCAGCTGGTGAATGGGGATGGAGGTCAGACCACAAGAACTGAGAGTGGGAAATTGGAAAAATGCCTAGAGAAAAATTGGGGTGCTGTCACCTTAAGTTTTTTTAATGAATGCTGGGTAGGCAAAAATAACAGCTGTCTTCTGGAGAGAAGATCCAATTCATTGGGACTAAATCCCCTCGAGGAGATCCACAACACATATTGTCACCATAAAGTTTTTTTATTTAAAGACAAAAACAAGCTCACTTGGCAGGGGATAAGATCACCCCCCAGTTTTTTTTTTCTCTTAACCTTGGTGATAATATTCATGTTATATACTTGCTAAGTTATCTTTTTTTTTGATTCTTCTATTAATCTGAACTTGGAATCGCAAATATTTGAAACCTAACTTTTTTTTAGAGATTTTTAAACTGACTTAGATGGATTTTTGTATTTCCTGTAATTTATTGAAGTTACCTGCTTTTCCAATCAGATTACCTCTAATTTACACACCCTCATACGTACTTTTTTTTTTGATCTCTAATGAGATTTTCAGATGGGGGCTGCAGGAAGAAGTGGGCAAATTAAAAAAAGTATGAGAACACCATGTGTAAGGATTTCCATCTCTTTCTGGTGCTGTTACCTATTTTAGGGCTAGATATGCCCAACCAGATTAAGGAAGAAAGTAGCTGAAACTCATAATTAGGTGGATTAAAGAGTGTATCATTAGTAACAACAGTTTTAGGATGAAAAGAGGCTTTTTTTTCTCAGATAAGTCAAACTGAAGTCTTATCCTTATTCCAATTGTGGAGTTGTTTTTTTTTCTTATAGGAGTACTCTTAGAGTTGTTATAGGAGTACTCTTAGAGTTGTTATTTTTTTACTAATCTTAGAGTTGTTATAGGAGTACTCTTAGAGTTGGGATTTTACATGTTTTTTTAGGTTTCAGTAGGAACTCTGTAGATACATTTGTCAAATGACTAGAGATGAGTTTTTTTAAAGTAATTTTGGAAAGTCAAATGAATTTTTAGGTTTTAAATAATTCAGACACCACAGCAACAGTTTATTACTATAGTCTTTATGACAAAAATTGTTGACAATTTAGGATCTTGGCCTTTGATTTTTGTTTGAATCATTAGCGTTCTGGGCTCATTTAAGAGATTATTTTTTTTAGTTTAAACAATCGAATAATAGTTTTTTCAAGGTTAAATCTTGCTCTTTTTGGCCACTGAGGCAGGGCAGAGATCATTTATAAGAAGAAAAGATTTCATCTTTTCTGTTTTGATGTGGGGTAGGTTAATATTCAAGTTTAAAAGAAAAAAAAACCCTGGTTCAAATTTTTTTTTAGGGCTGGTGTGGTGTCTCCTACCTGTAATCCCAGCTACTTGGGAGGCTGATTTTTTTGGATTGCTTGGGTCCAAGACCAGCCTGGGCAGCATAGTGAGACCATGCAAATTTTTTTAAAAAAAAAACCACAAACAAAAAAAGCAAATTTTAATCCCAACTATTGAAGTTTTTTTAACCACTGTTCACAGAAATGATAATAGTCACGTCAGTTGGTTTTTGTGCTGTTTTTTTTTGTTATTGTTGTTTCAAATTATTCCTCTCCTTTCATATCTGCATTGCCTCTTTTTTTCCTATTACTTCAGATATAAAATATGAGAAACTTATTTTGGGTGACCTACCCACCAAGGAAGAGCAAAGATTCAGCCTGACACAAAATAACCCATAATAGGAATCTTGCATTTTTTTTACAGTGAATGAATGTAATATACAGCTTTCTTAAAAAAATAATAATCTTGATTTTTTTGATAGAATTATTTGGTGTTTGTGGGACAGGTGTGTGTTGGGGGGGGGGGCGTTTTTTTGTGTGTGTTTAAAGTGAATATTTCTTAAAAATCAGCAATTGTTCCAGACTTTTTTTTTACTTTATTAGCATTAGAATGTCTGTTTATTGATAGGATAGTACCTTTTGTAAATTGTTACTCTTCTGAAAGAGATTATCTATTTTCCAGAAGAGAAAGCGAGTGTTTTAGATGGTTAGCAGTTTAGACCTAAGACTGTTGGACTCTAAAGCCCATGTACTTTTTCCTTTTTTTTGCTGTCTAATGAATTAACCTTTAACATTCCCTTTATCATTTTCTGCAGTGAAATTGAGGAATTAAAACGTTTATAATTTAGCTGTCTTTTTTTACTTTAGTTTATTTAGTTTTTTTTTTGGAGGTTATGGATGATAAACCCAGTCCTGAAGCCCTAAGTGAGAGTTCTTTTTTTCTTTTCTCCTTTGGCGTTATTGCAGATGTTCAATATGCTGACTTAGAAGATTTTTTTTATTTCCAAGGAACCAGGCGGCGATACTACAGACATAGTCTTCTTCACTTACTTTTTTTCATTGAAGACTGGAATAATGAAAGCAGCACGCCCTGTTGTGTCCTTCAGCTTTTTTTTATCATCGATGGATATAATGCACAGTATAATGCATCCGAAAAGTCCCTAGAATTTTTTTTGGACACATTCAAGAGGCTTAAAGTGCCAGTTCATCATACATGGGGAAACCACGAATTCTATAACTTCAGTAGAGAGTATTTAACACACTCTAAACTTAACACTAAGTTTTTTTTTGATCAGATCGTACATCATCCCGAGACCATGCCTTCAGAGGATTATTATGCTTTTTTTTTTGTACCATTCCCTAAATTCCGGTTCGTTTTACTTGATGCGTATGACTTGATTTTTTTGGGCATGGATCAGTCTTCTCCAAAATACGAGCAGTGTATGAAGATATTGAGTTTTTTTAATCCAAATACGGAACTGAATAGTCCTCAAGGTGAATTATTCCTTTGAGCTTTTTTTTTAATAGATTGTCTTTAAATTCTTCAACTACCTTTTATTCAGCAGGAAGATGTTTTTTTAAGGTAAAAGAATATTGTCACTTGTTCAGGGTCAGGATTTCTCACAAGCCTTTTTTTTCATGGATTGGTTACAGCTTATTCAAGATTGATTAACAGATATTTTAAATGCCTATTCTAGGCTGGGCACTTTTTCCAGAGGTAGCTATTCTGAGCTGTAAACAATACTAACAATATTAACTTTTTTGATGGATGGAATGGAGGGAGTAAACACAGTAAGTGGGCAAGACATGATAAATGAAACAGAAACAAGATTATTTCCATGGTCATAAGTGCTGCCAAGGAAATAGCCTATCATGTTATAGAGTGTTGTGGAAAAGGATTAGGGTTACTATTTTAGATTAGGTGATTAGGGAAAGCCTCTCCAAGGAGAAAGATATTTAAGCTGTGACCTAAATGACATTTTTTTGTCTCCCTGGGAAAGAATGGGCATAGGGAGTTAGCAGACTGAGGGAAAAACATGCACAGGCACTAAATGGAATAAGACTTGAGCACTGTTGAAGAGCACAGGAAAGGGCCAGGGAGGTACAAGATGATTTTGGAGTGTAAACAGGGCCAAGACTATGTAGTGGCTCATTTTTTTTAATAAGAAGTTTGCATTTTTAGTCTAATGGAAAGCCAGCGAAGTAAGCAGTTTTTTTTCAAGAGTGAGATGCAGTGTGATGTATTTATATATTTCTCTAAATGCTTGTGATTTCCTATTTTAAGTTGATTATTGCTAATCAGATGTTCGTAAAGAAAAAACAAGTGTTTTTTTATTAACTAAATTTGAATGTCCAAATGAGGGGAAAAAATGACTTTTGATGGGTCTAACTTACTGCATTCATTTCAGGACTTTCTGAGCCCCAGTTTGTCCAGTTTAATGGAGGATTCAGCCAAGAACAGCTAAACTGGTTGAATGAAGTGCTTACATTCTCTGACACAAACCAAGAAAAGGTGGTGATTGTGAGTAAGTATTTAAATTATCTGATTACACCAACATTTTTTTTATTGGGAAAAGTTAGGTGTTAAAGCATACTAACAATATTTGTGTTTTGCTATCCTCTTTCTATAAAATGGACACTTAGTTTAAACATTTGTATTGAGAAACTACCTGAATATAAGATTGACATTTAAGGATGAACCAGGAAAACGTAAATAACAGAAACATCTTGCCTTTTTTTGGAGCCTGTGAGTTGGTCTTTTAGGTTCAAAGTCGAATTTCCTCAAATGAGTTTTTTTTATGAAGTAATTTCTTTTTTAAACATTAATATTATTATTGAAATCATTTTATTTTTTTATGCATTTGTAAGAAATAATTCAGAGCAGTCACTTCTATGCTTTGCTGTTTTTTTTTTCGTTAACATTTTGTAAAACTTCAGTATAATATCACTAGCAGAATAGTGACATTAATACGAAAATAAACCCTCCAGAAGTTTGGCTTTTTCTAAGTTGGCTTTTTTTTTTTTTTTTTTCTCTCCATAAGAGAAGCAAGAACCCAAAGGTAAGATGACTTCACCATGATTTTTTTTACATAAAAATTACCAAGAAACTTGACTCAAAATCAAAAACAAGCTGAATTCTTTTTTTCCAACATGATGAAAGCCCATCTCTACTAAAAATATAAAAAAAAGTTAGCAGGGCGTGGTGGTGCGCGCCTGTAGCTCCAGCTACTTGGGAGGCTGAGGCAGGAGAATTGTTTTTTTCAGAAGGTGGAGGCTGCAGTGAGCCGAGATCATGCCACTGCACTCCAGCTTTTTTTTTAAAGATCTTATCTCAAAAATAAATAAATAAATACATAAATAAAGCCAAGCATTTTTTTAAAACACTGAGCTGAATTCTAAAGTGTGGAATCCAGGATGCAATCAGCTTATTTTTTTGCTTGACGCCACACTGAACAATTTGTTGGTGGAAGTCAGTACCAGGGCGTAGATCTTTTCCTCAAGGTAGGAAGCCCTGAGTTTCTTAAGCTCTAATGAAGTAATTTCTTTTTTTTAAATTCAGTTCGGGGACCATACCAAATCTCAGCCTTCGAGACCTGCCTGTCTTTTTTTTGGCCACCAAACAGAGGCCACTGCTGCCTAGATGCAGCAAAATGCATCCCCTGGTATCGCAGGGGATGCGGGCTAAAGGCTCGGCTGGCAGTGAGCACTGTGCAGTTCTGTAGCTGTGCCTCCCACAGAGTCACAAGGAAGTTAGATTTGTATAATTTTCATTTAGATTTTTTTTTGATGGATACACTGCCATCAGAGATTGTAGGAATCCAGGGGTGCTTAAAACGCGTGTGTGTGCGCATGCGCACGTGAAGACACACATACACGGAACTGAATTTGGATTTTTTTTTTGATGGGGAGACTTGGTTTGGAGGTTGAGATTAGAGCCCTTGGTTTAGAATTAGAATTGACGTGGGGTAACAGGTGAGAAGGCTAGACTGAGAGCCGGAAGGACAGGATTTTTTTTTGACTCTGGTTTATATGAACTGTGTGGGCCTGGGCAAATAGCAAACCTACAAACTGCAGTGTTCTCAATAGTGTATCTAATGAAATTATGAATATGAAACCCCTGGCCAAGCACGGTGGCTCATGCCTGTAATCCCAGCACTTTGGGAGGCTGAGGTGGGCGGCTCATTTTTTTAGGAGTTTGAGACCAGCCTGGCCAACATGGTGAAACCCCCTCTCTACTAAATTTTTTTAAATTAGCCGGGCGTGGTGGCAGGCGCCTGTAATCCCAGCTACTCGGGAGGTTTTTTTAGGAGAATCGCCTGAAACCAGAAGGTGGAGGTTGCAGTGAGCCAAGATCACTTTTTTTCACTCCAGCCTGGGCAACAAGAGTGAAACTCTGTCTCAAAAAAAAAAAAAATTTTTTTAAACCCCTTCGAAAATGATAGGCTATTCAGATAGTTGAGTATATAAAACTATTTTTTTATCTGTAAAGGTAGTTTTTACTGATTAATCTTCCACTGATGTGGTAAAAACTTTTTTTAGGAGCAGAAGTGTTTCTGCTACCACTCGAATACCAAATGTCATTCAAGGGTTTTTTTAGATGAGTGCCCTTGGGTTGCTGGAATGATGTGACACCTTTTGGTTCTATAATAACTGGTCTCAGAAACTAGGATACTTCTTGACTTGTGTCTGCTTTTAAGTTTTCCATTTTTTTTCTGTTCTGGAGCTGAAAGGAAGCTAGAGATCATATAGCAAGCCTTTGAATTGTAAAGATAAGGAAACTGAAGCCCAATGAGACTGAATTGCATAGCAGAATCATGGAGCTGCTGACAGCACTGAGACTAGAATCCATGCTTTATGTCTCCATCCCCTTTCCCATGTTTTTTTTTGTTCTTCCCTTTTCTTTTTACTCATGGCGGTACACCTATCTAGCTTAGCATTTTTTTAAATTTCTTCTACCATTTGATGTAAGCCTAGAAACTGGAAAGGCAAACTTTTTTTTTTGGAATGATTGAAGTTTTCTTTAGTAAAATTTAAAAGTTAAAGTGTAATAGATTTTTTTTTTTGCTTTTTAACTTTCATGGTGGCTACTCCGAGGTCACCCTACGTTTTGTTTTTTTGCCATGCAGTTGGAAGGATAGAATTGCCATTAGCTGAGATAGGGGACACGGCAGGATGAGGGGTGTGAGTGGAGAGGGCAGGGGTTCAGGTTTGGAAATAGAAGTTTCAGATGCCTACCAGACATCAGTGGAGATGTTGAGTGGGCAGTTTAGACATTAGAAGTCTGTTTTTTTGAATAGAGATTTGGGCTAGATAATAAATGTGGAAGTTGAAAGAGTATAGATTTTTTTTAAGGCATATAAATCACTAAGAGATCACCAATGCATTAGGTATAAATAGAGATTTTTTTGGACCAAGCATTCAGGTACTCCTGGTAAGACGTTGGGGAAATGAGGGGCAATTTTTTTAGGAGACTGGAAATTAGTGGCCGTCGAAGTTGGGGAAAAACTAGAAAGACATTTTTTTGGGAAACAGTGGGGTCCTGGAATCCAAGCGTTTCAGGGAGACGGGACAACTTTTTTTTTCAAATGCTGCAGGGACTTGATAGATGAGTCAGTATGGCTTCGAGGTGCTGTTTTTTTGCATGCGCCTTTGGATGCTTAGCCCTTAGGTGGTAATCAGCGCGTGTATGCTTTTTTTAAAAACAACAACAACAACTTATATTACAGATATTAAGTAGAAGCATGTTTATTTTTTTGAATAAAAACGAACAATAGAAAAAAGTGATTTAATGGGAAGGTGCAACGTGTTTTTTTCTTCAGAGTGAGAACCGTGGCTTGATCATAGATGTGTTGCTGTTAGAAATTTTTTTTTCTCCTCACTCTGCTTCCACATATCTCCTGTGGACGCCAGTATAAATCTTCCCTGTTTTAACTGTTTTTCATCTGTAAAGTGGGTATGGTTACCTTGATCTCATGGGTGTTTTTTTTCTCACAAATCAGTTCTGAGACATTGTTTATGTTAGTGACACATGATCCATGGCCCATCCCTAAACTGTTTGTCTATTTATTTATATTTACATTTTTTGAGACGGAGTCTTTTTTTTTCACCCAGGCTGAAGTGTGGTAGTGTGATCTTGGCTCACTGCAACCTCCGCTTTTTTTGTTCAAGCAATTCTTCTGCCTCAGCCTCCCGAGTAGCTGGGACTACAGGCATTTTTTTCCATGCCTGGCTAATTTTTATATTTTTAGTAGAAACAGGTTTCACCATGTTTTTTTTTCTGGTCTTGAACTCCTGACCTCAGGTAATCCAGCTGCCTTGGCCTCCCAAAGTGTTGGGATTACAGGTGTGAGCCACCACACCCGGCCTGCTCTTTAATTATTTAGTGTTTTTTTTTTCTATGTATATAACATTCATATTTAAGGAAATCAATGGGATTGGATTCCAGCACAGCACCTGCCCAGTTTCGGGCTGCCTTTGCAGACTGCCCTGCATAGGACACCCTCGATCTTCCTCAGTGTTTGGGCAGCTTGAGACCACGTAGGCCTCAGAGATTCAGGGTTTTTTTTTTGCAGCAGCCTGTCGCACCTCATGTGAACCGTCTCACCCTTCTGTGCTCCATTTTTTTGGCTGTAGATGGCCTAGTTTTCTCATGTGTGTGAATTCTCTCTGGTCTCAGTTTTTTTGCATAATGAGATAGCAATTTTTTTTCTTTTTCTGAGTATTAACTTTCAGCCTTTTTTTTTTATAGAAGAGATATTTCTTGGCTTATAACTCTTCTTTTCTTTAACTAACTTTTTTTCTTCCCATTTACCCAGACGCCTCTGACAGTGTGTGCCTGGCCTGGAACTACTTTTTTTCCCTGGCAGTCATTTGGTCTCATGAGTGCGTGGTGTGTTTCTTTGCTGGTCACACCCATGATGGTGGCTACTCTGAGGATCCTTTTGGTGTATATCACGTCAGCCTAGATTTTTTTATTGAAACAGCTCCAGACAGCCAAGCTTTTGGCACAGTTCATGTCTATCCTGACAAAATGACGTTGAAAGGGAGAGGCAGAGTTCCAGACAGAATTATGAATTACAAGATTTTTTTAGCCGTCCATTGTTAGTCTAATTTATTTTGTTTAACTTGATAGAAAATGAGTTTTTTTTTTGTCCCTCCTAAACAAAAAAATAAAAATCTTCTGTCTCATTGTTTAGTATTTTTTTTGCATAACAAAATATATTTATAGTTTCAGTGTGTGTTGGTTGATAAAATACTTTTTTTTGTTATTTTGGATCATGTATCCATTGTAAGTTAGAAACAAACCAGGGAGGATTTTTTTGCAGGGGCGAATAGTCTTTGTAAGGGGCATATAGTCTTCCTGAGGGATTTTTTTTTTTCTTACCTGATTTTTTTTTAACTTTTTACAAGGAGAATGTATTTACATGTATTTTTTTTGTAACTTCAAGTTCACCATATAAGCTCAGGTAAGCTTTCTATTCACCCTGCTGTGTAAATGAGCTTTGCAGAATTTTTGTTCAGAACA